AGCCATTGGCTTCACTGCGGTCAATCACAGCCATTGAGCCAATGAGAAGAGAGAGCGGGCGGGGCCTAGCCATAGCTCTGTGTGTGAATGGACACACTGAGCATTGGGTGCCCCATAGCAAGCTGCTTTTGCTGTGAGGATACAAAACAGCAGGAAGGGGCCAGGAGTGCAGGTGCGGTACCCATGTATAAACATGCTTGTTTGTTTTTTATTTTAAAAAGTGTAAGCCTTTATAGAATCACTTTAAAGTGTTTGTAAAGTCTAAAAGGTTTTTTTACCGTCATGCAATCTATGCATGAAGGTAAAAAAAAAAACCTTCTGTGTGCAGCATCCCCCCCAGCCCCCCCCCTAATACTCACCTAAGCCCCTTCTCAATCCAGCGATCTGCACTGGAGTCTCGGCTATCCCAGGACACCCCTCTTTCTCATTGAATGAGACAGAAGCAGGAGCCATTGGCTCCCACTGCTGTCAATCACAGCAGCGAGTCAAGGAGAAGAGAGAGGGGGTGGGACTGAGCCACTGCTCCATGTGTTAATGGACACATGGAACAGTGGATTGCCCCATAGCAAGCTGCTTGCTGTGGGGCACCCGACAGGAGGGAGAGACCAGGAGCGCCAGCGGGGGGACTTGAGAAGAGGAGGATCTGACCTGCTCTGTGCAAAACCACTGGACAGGCTGTTTTTAGGTTTGTTATTTTTTTTTTCCTTTAAAATAAGCCTTTAAAGAGAGGGGGACAGTGTGAGTACTCTTACACACCGCACCCCTGGTCTGGGCCGCAGAAAGAGAGGGCAGTAAAAAAAAACAACTAGCTTCTCATGCTGGGGCTGCTGTGCTAAATTGTGGCAGTTTCTGGGCCCCCCCCACCCCCACCTTGCCCAGTGAAATAACCTTCCGTGCAGCTGGGTGAAGAGGAGGATTTCATGTGTTGGGTGGGGTCTGAGAAGGTATCACTTTAAGCTATCAAGAGAGGACAGTGTGAGTAATCTGATTCTGTACCGATAGTTGCTAAGGAGTTTTTTCTTGCTTTTTCCTCAAGTTTGGACAGTTGCAGTTTCCCCTTAGGCAACTTTACTTTATACACCCCCCTGGGCCGCAGATCAAGAACAAACCCCCTCCCCCCCCCAACCCCTACCCCCCCCCCCCCAATACCCAAACACCCCCCCCCCACTTCAACTCTCTAGACCCCCCCCCCCCTCGACTATCGACCCCCGTTTCAACAAGTAAATAAACCAAACCACACCCAAAACCAACCACACCACCCAATACAACACAAATCCACAAACCAACATCCATGCTTGTAGGGCAGTAAAAAAAAACTCTTACTCACCCTCCCCTCTATCCACTCTCTCACTCCCCTACATCTCCATCTCTCTTCCACAACCCTTCCACTCTCTCCTCCATCTCCAGGGCCGCAGCTGAGGCTCTGGTAGCTAAATTTCTCATTGGCAATATTGTTTCTGGGCCCCCTTGCCCAGGGAATACCTTCAGTGCAGCTGGGTGAAGAGGAGGATTCATGTGGGGTCTGAGAAGGTACACCAGAAAGCTGGAATGCTCTTAAAAGGGGAGACTAATTTTTGTCCCACATCTGATTCTGTACATAGTTGCTAAGGAGTTTTTCCCTCAAGTTTGCAGTTTCCTTAGGCATGCATCCCATACCCCCCTCGACCCCGTTCAAGTTATTAACCCCTTAATAAAATCACAAAAACCAAGCTCAAGGATTGTTTACTGACTCTGAGTTCAAAGTGTGGGAGCAAAATGCGTGTTGCATGGCTGTGCAGAGTTTTAGGGGGACCTAAACTTTAGCAACTCCTAAGGGGGCAGTGCTCTCTCTCTCTCTCTTTATATTTATATATATATATATATATATATATATATATTTATATTGTTGTATGAGTTCCTTTTTTCTACTATCTGACAAAAAAATCAGAATTCATACGTTAAACATAGTTGCATAGTTAGTCTGGATGAAAAAAAGACAAAAGTCCATCTAGTTCAACCAAAAAGAAAAAAAAAAAAGTCATAATCCTATACCCACAGTTGATCCAGAGAAAGGCAAAAAAAAACAGCAAAGCATGATCCAATATGTTCCTGCAGGAGAAAAAATTCCTTCATGATCCCCAAGAGGCAATTAGATATTCCTTGGATCAATGTACCTATAAATGTTAGTATCCAGTTACTGTATATTATGTGTATCTAGGAAAGAATCCAGGCCTTTTTTAAACCAATCTACTGAGCTGGCCAGAACCAACTCTTGAGGGAGTCTATTCCACATTTTCACAGCTATTACTGTATGGAAACCTTTCCATATTTAGAGATTAAATCTCTTTTCCTCCAGACATAAGGGGTGTCCACTTGTCTTTTGTGATGACCTCAGGGTGAATAACTCTACACCGAGTTCACTATATCAGTGGTCGGCAAGCCGCGGCTCGCGAGCCACATGCGGCTCTTTACAAACTTAAATGCGGCTCTTCTGTGTGCCGGGCGCCCGCCCCCCTCCCTCCCTCCTCCTCGGGCGGCCGCCCCCCTCCCTCCTCTCGGGCGGCCGCCCCCCTCCCTCTCTTCGGGCGGCCGCCCCAAAAGTCAGGACTCTGCAGCTGTCAGTAGGATGTAGGCGGGGCAGCCAGGATGTAGGCGGGGCAGCGTGACGAACTCCTCTCCTCTCACAGTCCACCCTGAAGACCAGAGCGGCGCGGGAACACGGCGAGAAGAACGCGAAGAGCAAAGGTAAGTGAATTGACACAATATGGGGAATGAATTACTATAGGGGGGATGAATTACTATATGGGGAATTACTATATGGGGGATGAATTATTATATGGGGAATGAATTACTATGGGGGATGAATTACTATATGGGGGATGAATGAATTACTATATGGGAGATGAATTACTATAGGGGGGATGAATTACTATAGGGGGGATGAATTACTATATGGGGGATGAATTACTTATGGGGGATGAATTACTATATGGGGAATGAATTACTATAGGGGGGATGAATTACTATAGGGGGGATGAATTACTATGGGGGGGTGAATTAACTATATAGGGGGTATGGGGGAGGGAATTACTGGGGGGTGGGGGGGAGTGAATTACTATGGGGGGGTGGGGTGGAATTACTATGGGGGATGAATTACTACTATATGGGGGATGAATTACTATGGGGGATGAATTACTGTCAGGAATGGACTGGCCAGCAATATTGGGACTCACCTGCCTTATGAGCTGCAGTACCAGGGCTGGCCAGCGGGTGCTCCCAGCAATCAGAGACTCAACCTTGCAGCCAGTCAAACACCTGGAACTAATTATACTGGTGTATTTAAGGGACATTCAGACCTGCAGACTCTGCCTTGGTGTTGTGTGTTCTCCTGGGCCCTGTTTCCTGTTCCTGTTCCTGTCTGATTCTCTGCTGACCCTGCTCTGATCCCTGGCTTGTCTGACCATTCTCCTGCTCCTGATCCCTGGCTTGTCTGACCATTCTCCTCTGCCTGACCCTCTGTACCACGCTGCCCGCTACCTGCTGAACCTGGCTTGTGACCCCGACCATTCTCCGCTTGCTCCCCCTGTACCTACCTGCCCGATTGATATTGACCCGGCCTGCCTGACGACGCTTGCATTGTATGTACTGTTATCTGTGGGTGGTTGGTTTGGTTTGTTTGCACTGTGTTATGTTTTAGTATTGCACTGCGTTTATGTTTGTATTGTTATGTGTTAATAAATTACATTGTTTATAACATATCTGAAGTCTGCGTTTCCCTGCGTCAGTCACACACCTCTGGTCATACTCGGGAACCCTGACATTACACCAAGGCCAATCCTGACCAGAAGTGGCTACACAGGGAAGCCATCTTGGTTTGTTGATGGGAAGGATGGATCTGGATGAGGTTGCGTATTTATATCTGCTAGTGTTTGATGACAGGGAGTATGCTTATCAAACTCTGAAGGAGTATACCCCGATGAACTGCTAGAATGTATATACGGCTCGCTCATGTTCTAGTAAATCAGGGCACAGAGTTCTCTGAGGTGCAGCCATTGATTGAGGTTTGTGCTGAGTTGGTTTCATCTGGTACCCCCGAATGCAGGGATGAATTTTTGCCCCCATTTAGTGCAGACCAGGTAGAGTCCCTGGTGTGGTTATTAGAGGATGATGTGGGTTACTTTCTGGAGCGTTATTCCACATGTTCACCACAGGTACTAAGAGATTGTATAAACGCAGTGCAGTCTTTGGTCAGACAGGCTTTGTGTAAGCTCAGCTTTGTTCAACCCATACTGCAGACATGGACAGATTTGTTGCACCCAGCCTCAGTCAGCTTACAAAAACCCAGTCCTGCTTCTAATCTATTTCCTCAAAGCTCTATTCCTGCATTCCTAACAGCTCCTCCTGCCCTGCTATCTACCGCATGTCAGTACCCTGTTCCCACTCGCTGCACCTATCCTGCCTTTAACCCTGTAAAAAAGCCCTCTGTAGCAACTGCTCCCTCTCCTGTTCCATCCTCCAGTTCTTCTCTGTCTCCAGCTGCTCCATTCGTTTGCAGACCTGCGTTTACTTGCAGTGCTCCAGTAGTTAAAACCAGAAAAAAGCGAAAATTCTTTCCAACCAATACCATCCTGCCAGTATCCAAACCGGTGAACCTGCCTTCCGTGGTTCAGAATCAGCCTGAATCCTCTACTCGGCCTGAATCCTCTACTCGGCCTGATGCCTCTACTCGGCCTGAAGCCTCTACTCGGCCTGAAGCCTCTACTCGGCCTGAAGCCTCTACTCGGCCTGATGCCTCTACTCGGCCTGATGCCTCTACTCGGCCTGATGCCTCTACTCGGCCTGAAGCCTCTACTCAACCGGACGCCTGCATTCAGCCTGATGCCTCTACCCAGCATGATGAACTGATCCAGCCTGACGATCCTATTAGGCCAGTTGACTCGATGCCCGCTGTTGATCCAGATGATCCGGTACCTGATCCGGTGCCCGCTGTCGTGCCAACTGACTCAGAGCCCGCTGTCGTACCTGGTGACTCGGTGCCCACTGCCTTGCCAGATGACGCGGTGCCCGCTGGCGAGCCAAATTACCCTGATGCCTGGTGACCCAGTGCCCGCTGTCATACCTGGTGACCCGATGCCCGCTGTCGAGCCAGACAATCCGGTACCTGATGACCCGGTGCCCGCTGTCGTGCCAATTGAGTCAGAGCCCACTGTCGTGCCTGGTGATTCGGTGCCCGCAGTCTTGCCAGACGACTCGGTGCCCGCAGTCTTGCCAGCCCGCCCGCAGTCTTGCCAGACGACTCGGTGCCCGCAGTCTTGCCAGATGACTCGGTGCCCGCTGTTCCGCCAGTTGACTCGATGCTCGCTGTTCCGCCAGACGACTCGGTGCCCGCAGTCTTGCCAGACGACTCGGTGCCCGCAGTCTTGCCAGACGACTCGGTGCCCGCAGTCTTGCCAGACGACTCGAAGCCCGCTGTTCCGCCAGTTGGCTCGGTGCCCGCAGTCTTGCCAGTTGACTCGGTGCCCGCAGTCTTGCCAGTTGACTCGGAGCCCACTGTCGTGCCTGGTGACTCGGTGCCCGCCGCTCCGCCTGGGGGCCCGAGACCTGTCGCTCCGCCTGGGGGTCCGGCGTCCGCCGCTCCGCCTGGGGGTCCGGCGCCCGCCGCTCTGTCTGGGGGCCTGAGACCTGTCGCTCCGCCTGGGGGCCTGAGACCTGTCGCTCCGCCTGGGGGCCTGAGACCTGTCGCTCCGCCTTGGAGCCTGAGACCTGTCGCTCCGCCTGGGGGTCCGGCGCCCGCCGCTCCGCCTGGGGGCCCGAGACCTGTCGCTCCGCCTGGGGGTCCGGCGCCCGCCACTCCGCCTGGGGGCCCGAGACCTGTTGCTCTGCCTGGGGGCCCGGCACCCGGCGCTCCGCCTGGGGGCCCGATGCCTGTCGCCCCTCCTGGGGGCCCGATGCCTGTCGCCCCTCCTGGGGGTCCGATGCCTGTCGCCCCTCCTGGGGGCACGGCGCCCGCCGCTCCGCTTGGGGGCCCGATGCCTGTCGCCCCGCCGGGGGGCCGAGGCCTGTTGCCCCGCCTGGGGGCCCGATGCCTGTTGCCCCCCCCGCCTGGGGGCCCGATGCCTGTTGCCCCGCCTGGGGGCCGATGCCTGTCGCCCCTCCTGGGGGCCCCGGCGCCCTCCGCTCCGCTTGGGGGCCCGATGCCTGTCGCCCCGCCTGGGGGCCCGATGCCTGTCGCCCCGCCTGGGGGCCCGGTGCCTGCTGCTTCACCTGGTAATCTCCTGATGTGCCTCTGCCCCCGGAGTCCAGCCCAATGTGCCTCTGCCCGGAGTCCAGCCCGATGTGCCTCTGCCCGGAGTCCAGCCCGATGTGCCTCTGCCCGGAGTCCAGCCCGATGTGCCTCTGCCCGGAGTGCCTCTGCCCCTGTGCCCGCTGCCCGGAGTGCCTCTGTCCCGGTGTGCCGCTGCCCGATGTGCCTCTGCCCGGAGTCCAGCCCGATGTGCCTCTGCCCGGAGTTCAGCCCGATGTGCCTCTGCCCGGAGTCCAGCCCGATGTGCCTCTGCCCGGAGTCCAGCCCGATGTGCCTCTGCCCGGAGTCCAGCCCGATGTGCCTCTGGAGTCCCCGGTGTGCCTCTGCCCGGTGTGCCTCTGCCCGGTGTGCCCCTGCCCGGTGTGCCGCTGCCCGGAGTCCTGCCCGGTGTGCCAGTCTTTGATATCCCGCCAGTTACCAGACCCCCGGCGGTGGAACATCTTGCCCAGCTAGGACTGTTTGGAGCGTCCTGAGGCCCGCTCCTTGAGGGGGGGGTACTGTCAGGAATGGACTGGCCAGCAATATTGGGACTCACCTGCCTTATGAGCTGCAGTACCAGGGCTGGCCAGCGGGTGCTCCCAGCAATCAGAGACTCAACCTTGCAGCCAGTCAAACACCTGGAACTAATTATACTGGTGTATTTAAAGGGACATTCAGACCTGCAGACTCTGCCTTGGTGTTGTGTTTCTCCCTGGGCCCTGTTTCCTGTTCCTGTTCCTGTCTGATTCTCTGCTGACCCTGCTCTGATCCCTGGCTTGTCTGACCATTCTCCTGCTCCTGATCCCTGGCTTGTCTGACCATTCTCCTCTGCCTGACCCTCTGTACCACGCTGCCCGCTACCTGCTGAACCTGGCTTGTGACCCCGACCATTCTCCGCTTGCTCCCCCTGTACCTACCTGCCCGATTGATATTGACCCGGCCTGCCTGACGACGCTTGCATTGTATGTACTGTTATCTGTGGGTGGTTGGTTTGGTTTGTTTGCACTGTGTTATGTTTTAGTATTGCACTGCGTTTATGTTTGTATTGTTAGTGTTAATAAATTACATTGTTTATAACATATCTGAAGTCTGCGTTTCCCTGCGTCAGTCACACACCTCTGGTCATACTCGGGAGCCCTGACAATTACTATGGGGGATGAATTACTATATGGGGGATGAATTACTATGGGGGATGATATACTATATGGGGGATGTATTTTTCAGTTTTAAAAATGTGGCTCTCAAAATAAATTTCAATCGTGGTTTTGGCGACATTTGGCTCAGTTGAAAAAAAAGGTTGCCCACCACTGCACTATATGAACCACTGATGTACAGTGAGGAACAGAAGTATTTGAACACCCTGCGATTTTGCAAGTTCTCCCACTTAGAAATCATGGAGGGGTCTCAAATTCACATTGTAGGTGCATTCCCACTCAGAGAGACATAATTTTTTAAAAAAATTCAGGAAATCACATTGTATGATTTTTAAAGAATTTATTTGTCTTGCACTGCTGAACATAAGTATTTGAACACCTAAGAAACAGCAAGAATTCTGGCTCTCAAAGACCTGCTACTGTGCCTTTAAAAAGTCCACCTCTACTCCACTCATTAATCTAACTTAGAAGCACCTGTCTGAGCTCTTTAAAGGCACCTGTCCACCCCACAGTCAGTCAGGCGCCAACTACTACCATGGCAAGATCAAAGAGCTGTCAAAAGACACCAGAGACAAAATTGTTAATTTCCCCCTTAATCTCCTCTTCTCAAGAGAGAATAAATTCAATTCCTTTAACTAGTTGGCCAGTTCTGGGTGGACGTCATATGACGTCCTCCCAGAATGCGCTCTCCTGCGCGCCCTCGGGGGCGTGCACCCGGCGATCTCCGTGATCGCTGTGTCCTACGGATACAGCTAATCACATGATGTGGTAAAAGGTCAATCACAGCAGCCTTTTACCACGTGATCAGCCATGTCCAATGACACACAGGGAAATGCAATTGACGGTTCTCGGCTGCACTTTCCTCATGCTGTCAGAGCGCAAGGAAAATACTGCCGAGAACTGGCAGTTGTCAGAGCAGGAATCGGCACCGATCATCAGGGCACTGAAACCACAGCTTGGTATTGCATGCCATTATTAAGCTTGTGATCTACCAGAACCCCGAGATTCTTCTCCAACATTGATTCCCCCATTTATACTCCCCCTAGTATGTATGATGTGTGCATATTTTTAGCCCTCAACTGCATAACTTTACATTTATCAATATTAAACCTCAATTGCCACATAGTTGCCCAATTGAACAGTGCATTAAGGTCAGCTTGTAAATTGGAGACATCCTGTAAGGATGTTATTCCACTGCATAGCTTGGTGTCATCTGCAAAGACTGAAATGGTATTTTCAATCCCAGACCCTTTATCGTTTATAAATATATTAAAAAGTAAGGGTCCGAACACTGAACCTTGGGGTACACCACTAAAGACCCTAGACCATTCAGAGTATGAATCATTAAGCACTACTCTCTGAATACGATCTTTTAGCCAGTTTTCTATCCATTTACGTACAGATTTTTCCAAGCCTGTAGACTTTACCTTACACATTAGCCGTGTGTGGGGAACTGTGTCAAACACTTTTGCAAAATCCAAGTATACCATGTCTACAGCCACCCCTCTGTCCAAGGTTTTGCTCACCTCCTCATATAAAAAGAAATTAGATTTGTTTGAAAATGTCTGCCTTTCATTAATCCATGCTGTCTGTTGTTTCAAATATTTTTTTCAAGCAGGAACTCATCCATGTGATCTTTTATTAAACTCTCCAGTATCTTCCCAACTATAGAAGTTAAACTAACAGGTATATACAGTAATTACTAGGTAAAGATTTTGATCCCTTTTTTAAATATAGGCACCATGTTGGCCTTACGCCAATCCAGTGGTACTATGCCAGTCATTAAAGAGTCCCTAAAAATTAGAAACAATGGCTTTGAAATGACAGAGCTCAATTCTTTGAGGACCCGTGGGTGTATGCCATCCGGCCAGGTGCTTTATTCACCTTTATTCTGTCTAAAATATTTCAATTTCAGTGTCAATACCATACCCATTATGGACAAGAGCTCCCACATGCTCCTTTGTATACACTAAGAGCTAAAGAAGGCATTTAATAAATTTGCCTTTTCTTTGTGCCCAGTCACACACTCTAGATTATTTTTGTAAAGGGCCTACATGCTCAGACTTGGCCTTTTTACTGTTAATATATTTGAAGAATTTTGGGGGGGGGTTTTCTTGCTATCTTTTAAAATCTGTCTTTCGTTTTCTATTTTTGCGGCCTTGATTTACTTTTTACATATTCTTTTATGTTTTTTGTAATGTTTAAATGATGATGATATTGTTCCTTCATTTTCATATATTATAAAAGCTCTTTTTTTATTATCTATAGCTTTTTTTAACTTTGGCCGTAAGCCACATAGGTTTCATTTTTAACCTTTTAAACTTGTTGCCCATGGGAATACATTTTGCAGTGTGTTCACATATAGTCTTTTTAAAAGAATTCCCCTTTCTGTCCTGTATTCATCGATGTCAATATTCCCTCCCAGTCTAAGTCTTGGAGAACAGCTCTAAGCCGTGGAAAATTAGCACTCCCAAATTTGAGTGTTCTTATTTTTCTCGTATGTACTTGTTGTTTACAGCTAACAATAAATGAAATCATGTTATGGTCACTGCTACCCAGATGTCCTTTTATATGGACATTAGTAATAAACTCTGTATGGTTTGAGATTACCAAGTCCAGCAGAGCATCATTCCTAGTTGGGGCCTCTATGAACTGTACCATAAAATTGTCCTGTAGTAGATTTATAAATGTTTTCCCTCTAACTGTTCCTGCAGTGCCATTACTCTGGTCAATTTCTGGGTAGTTAAAATTCCCCATTATTATCGCCCTTACAGCCCTTTCGATCTGTGCAAGGAGCTGAGTCTCCACCTCCTCATTAAAAATTTGTGGCCTATAACAAACTCCAAGGAGTACCTTTGAAGTACACACCCCTATGTGCAGTTCCACCCATAATGTTTAAGCCTCATCACACTCTCCATCAACTAGGTCCTCTTTCACACTCACTTTGAGATCACTTCTAACATACGGACACCACCGCCTTTCCTTTTTACCATTCTGTAGGGTTGCCCAACATAGCCAGGAATATTAATGGCCCAGTCATGTGAAGAATGAAGTCAAGATTCAGCAAAACCAATTAAATCATAGCTCTCTTCATGCACCAAAGCTTCCAACTCACCATACTTCTGGCATTGGTGAACAAACACTTTAATTCATTGACACCTTTTGCACACGTTGCATGTTTTTTATTTTTGTACAAATGGTACCAATTCCAATGGTTGTT